TTTCAATAGCATCAGACAGAATAAAATACTAAGGAATAAACTTAACTAAGGGGGCAAAAGACGTGTATACTAAAAACCACAAAACATTGCTGAAAAAATTAAAGAAGACACAAATAAATGGAAAGACATTCTGTATTCATGAATCAAAACCCTTAGTACTGTTAAGATGTAAATACTACCCAAAATGATCTACAGATTCAGTGCAATCCCTATCAAATCCCAGCAACATTTTTTTGCAGGAAAAAAAAAATCCAACCTAAAAATCAAATGGAATCTCAAGGGACTCTGGATAGGCAAAAAAAAAAAAAGAACAGAGAGCTCAGAAATAAACATTTGCATATATGGCCAAATGATTTTCAACACAATGCCAAGATCATTCAATAGAGGAAAGGATAGTCTTCAAAGAGGGAAAACTAAATATCCACATGCAAAAAACTGAAGTTGGACACTTACCTTACACCACATTAAAAAATTAACTCAAAATGGATCTCACACACACACACACACACACACACACACACACTCACATGAGCTAAAACTATAAAATTCTTAGAAAATAGGGAGAAATCTTCATGATATTGGATTTGGCAGTGATGTTTTGAGTATTACAGCAAAAGCCAGGCAATAACATAAAAATAAATTGGACTTTATCAAAATTAAAAATCTTATGCATCAAAAGAAACCACAGAAATAAAAATGCAATCCACAGAATGGGAGAAAATATTAGCAAATGACATATCTGATAAGGGATTAATATCCTGACTATACGGAGGACTCCTAAAACTCACCAACAACAGAAAACCAACAAGCCAAACAACCCAATTAAAAAATGGGCAACATAATTGTATAGACATTTCTCTAAAAAAGATATACAGATAGCTAATAAGCACATGAAAAGATGCTCAATATCACTAATCATTAGGGAAATGCAAATTGAAGTCACAATGAGATACCATCTCACACCCATTAGGATGACTATTATCCAAAAGACAGAAAATATAAGTGTGAATGAAGGTATGGAGAAATTGGAACCCTTATGCATTGCTGGTGGGAATGTGAAATGGAGCAGCTGTTTAAAAAACAGTATGATAATTCCTCAAAAAAATTAGGGCCGGCTGAGTGGCAAGGTGGTTCAGAGCTGGCTTGGGACGCCAGAGGACCCTGGTTCGGATCCCACATATGAGGGCCAGTGACACTGCCCTCCACAGTTAAGATACTGAACAACAGCTCAACCTGGAGCTGGGCTGCCGTGAGTCGCCGGCGATGGCGTAGGCTGCAGCCCCTGTTGCAGTGGTTTGCCATGGGCTACCGTGTGTGGCCAGCAGCCAGCGTGAGCGGCTAGCAGCCGCAGTGAGCGGCCATCCAGAAGCCGGCGACTGATCTGCCTCGCCCAGGAAGAGCGCAATGATGGTGCCAACTTGGGCCAGTGAAG